ATTAGGGACCCCTAGGACAACCAGCAATGGCACAGCGCTCTGCCTGAGTCACTGAGGCCAAGGTCCTTCCATGCTAAGTCTCCGATTCCATTCCGGAGTCGTCCGAATCCGCTAGTTCTAACAGTCCAAAACTACCAGAAGCTGAACGAGATCACAGTGAAGAACTCGTATCCGCTCCCACTCATCTTGGACGTCCTTGCCTGCCTCCGCGGTGCTAAGTACTTCTCTGCACTAGACCTGCACTGGGGGTTCAACAATGTCCGGATCAAGGATGGTGACGAGTGGAAGGCCATGTTCGTGACCAACCGAGGGCTGTTCGAGCCCCTGGTGATGTTCTTCGGGTTGTGCAACTCACCTGCGACTTTCCAAACCATGATGAACGACATCCTTCGGGATTTCATCAACTGAGAGGTTGTCATCTGTTACATGGATGACATCCTCATCTTCACTGCTACCCTGGAGGAACACCGGAGGGTAGTACGAGAAGTCTTGGAGACACTGCAGAGGAGGAAGCTCTTCCTGAAGCCCGAGAAATGTAAGTTCGAATGGACATGGATCGACTACTTGGGGCTCGTCATTTCTGAAGGTAGCGTGGCAATGGACCCTGTAAAGGTCCGGGGAGTTCTTGACTGGCCAGTTCCGACCAAGGTGAAGGAGGTGCAGTCCTTCCTAGGGTTCGTGAACTTCTATCGCCGGTTCATCAAGGACTTCTCAGAGAAGGCACACCCACTCCACGCACTCACCCGGAAGACCAAGGTTTGGAGCTGGGGCCCGGACGAGGATCTGGCCTTCCACGCTCTGAAGGAAGCCGTCACCACTGCCCCTGTCCTCTCCTTCCCCACCGATTCCGGGTGCTTCAGGCTCAAGTGTGATGCCTCCAATTTCGCAACCGGCGCGGTCCTCTCCCAACTCCAGTCGGACGGAGAGTTCCACCTGGTAGTGCTCATGTCCAAAAGCTTCACGGACGTAGAATGCAACTACGAAATATACGACAAGGAGATGCTTGCGATCGTTCGAGCTCTCGAAGAATGGAGACACTTCCTGGAGGGCACCCAAGAGAGGGTCGAGGTTTACATGGATCACCGTAACCTGGGGTATTTCCAGACGGCCCAGAGGCTGAACCGGTGGCAAGCACAATGGTCCCTCTTCCTCTCCCGCTTCTACTTCACCCTCATCCATTGCCCAGGGAAACTCATGGGGAAACCTGACACACTCTCCTGCCGTTTGGACCACCCGAGAGGGAAGGATGACAACGAAGGGCTGACGCTCCTTCAACCAGCTTGGTTCGAAGCCCGGGGGATGGAGGCGATCTCAGTAGAAGGCGAAGAGGCAGGTATACTGGAGAGGATACATAGGGCAAAGGACCATGATGAGAGGGTGGTGAAAGCTATGCGAGAGTTAGGAGAGGGAACACTCAGGTCGGACGAATGGGAGAAGCAAGGAGAGCTGGTTCTCTACCGGGGGAGGGTGTACATCCCGAAGGACCCCCAACTCCGCCATGATCTGGTACGGCTACACCATGATGCATGGGCGACAGGACACCCGGGGCGATGGAAAACCCTGGATCTCGTCTCCCGTGACTACTGGTGGCCCCAGATGGCAGAGTATGTTGGGCGATACGTACGTGGGTGCGACACCTGCAACCGCGTCAAGCCCTTCCCCACATGCAAAGTGGGAAAGCTCACCCCAAACAAGATCCCTACCCACCGCTGGCAGGTGATCTCAGTAGACATGGTGGGAGAACTCCCTGAGTCGAAGGGCTACAATGCCATCCTAGTTGTAGTGGACCGCCTATCCAAACGTATCCACGCGATCCCCACCATGACATCAGTGGACTCGGCTGGTATCACACGGCTCTTCCTGGACCATGTCTGGAAACACCATGGGCTCCCAGAAGAGATCCTCAGTGATAGAGGGAGCGCCTTCATCTCCCGCTTCTCGAGAGAGCTCGCGGACCTCCTAGGAGTGAAGCTGACCCCCTCGACACCCTACCACCCCCAGATGGATGGACAGACAGAGCAAGTTAACCAGGAGATCGAGGCCTACCTCCGGGTATTTGTCAACCACTGCCAGGACGACTGGGCGGACTGGCTACCCTTGGCAGAGTTTGCCCACAACAACCGCGTCCACTCCTCCACCCGCCGGACCCCCTTCGAACTCGACACCGGGCAGCACCCCAGGATGGGGACAGAACCCACACGCACATCTGAAGTGGAAGCTGCAGATGCCTTCTTGTCTAGGATGATGAAAATGCAGGAAGAGGTGAAAGCAGCGCTGGAACACGCAGCGGACGAGATGGCCCACTATTATGACCGAGACCGTGAGGCAGCCCCAAAGTACCAAGAGGGCGACCAGGTCTGGCTTAGCGCCCAGAACTACACAACGGACCAGCCAACCAAGAAGTTGGACCACAAATGGCTAGGCCCCTTCAAGATTATTAAAGTCGTCTCCCCAGCCACTGTCAAACTCCAACTCACCGCATGACAAAAGGGAGTCCACCCAGTCGTGTCCATGACGAACATCAGACCGCACCACCCGGATGAGATTGCAGAACAACCTCCCGACCCCCGCCCAGGTCCAGAACCTGTAGATGGAAAGGAGGAATATGAGGTGGAGAAAATATTGGACTCCAAGTGGCTATGCCAGAGACTTTGGTATTTGGTAAAGTTCACTGGCTGGCCGGACTCAGAAAATGAATGGCTTCCCCGCGACCAACTAACCCATGCCCCCAACCGAATTAAGGAGTTCCACCAGACACACCCCCACGCCCCAGGGAGGGAAAGGGAAAACCCTCTGGCCGCTTCGAGGTGAAGCGGCTTAAGGGGGGGTGATGTCAGGGCACACCCGCCTCACCCGGCTCCACCCGGCTCCACCCCACCCGCTACCCCCTTCTTCCCCTTCCTGTCTCCTCCTCCACTTCCTCCTCTTCTTATTTCTTCTCTGTCTCATTCTCTATTCTTCCTATTTCTATTTACATGGACGACTTTCCTTGATCGATGTACTACTAACCTGCCTGCGACCCATGCACGATGCACCCAGCCCTGGATGCTCCAGACAACCCCTGGGTATGCCCAGCACGCGCGCCTGCAGCGGATCCCTTCGGGATCCCCCATGGGAATACCCGGGTGGCTGGGGCTGTGCATGGGGACGACGTGGCAACTCTCATGTGACCTGAGCACCATGTACATATATAAACATACCTGGGGTGGGAACCAGAGAAGCAGTCTTCTTCTCACCATTCCCACTTCAGGTAAGTAGCTGAGTTTTCCTTCTAATAATAATTAACACCATTCCCACTTCAGGGACATCTGCCTGCACCGGACCCGTTGCCGTACACGCCCGCTTCACACCCCACCGGGCCCTCAGCGCCGGGCAATATACCCAGATGCTCTCGACCCTGGACCGGTCCCTGACACGCTCCCTCCGAGTCGCTGAGGCTGTGTCCTTCTTAGAGCCTCTTGTACAACCCAGCAGACTAGGGCTTCCTGGAGAAGCTTCGGTTCACTACCAGAGCTCTCGGAACCCCTCTAGTTGAGCCCCACCTGCATTCGGTCTCACATCCCTTTGTGGGGGTTTCTGACAGGGTCGGCAAGCTCATGAGAGAATCACCTTATCGAGCATTGTGGAGTGGGTAGATGAAGGGTGGAATTAGCGACAGTGTCAGGGACTCATCCGGGGTCGAGGGGGTCCGGGTGTAGCGTCCGGGACCGAGAGCCTGGCGGGGGGCGGATCGGGCGTGCGTACTGACAGGCCCGATGTGGGACAGTAGTCCCTGGCCACTTAGACTGAAGTGGAAAGTTGTTATTATTATTAAAGGAGAAATATTGTACTACTTACCTGAAGTGGAAAGTTGAGAAGAAGGCTACTTCTTCGGTTCCCACTTCAGGTTCATTTATATACATGCGGCTTGGATCACATGACGGATGCCACGTCACCCTCGCACACAGCCGTAACCACCCGGGTGTCTCCGTGGGAGATCCCGAGGGTATCCGGTGCAGGCACGCGTGCTGGGCACAGTGGGAAGTCGCCCGAGGTGCCCAGGCCGGGTACATGGTGGGCGCGCTGCAGATGGGTCAGTTGTACATTGATACAGAGAAAGTCGTCCATGTAGAATAAAGAGAGAATAAAGGGGAAGTAAGATAAGGAGAAACTGAGGAGGGGAGGATGAGGGGGAAGAAGGGAAAGGGGGAGGGGGTAAGGAAGGGTGGACTGGCGGGGTACCGGGTCAGGTTGGGCCGGGTGGAGCCGGGTCAGGCGGGTGTGCCCTGACAGTAAGTCGATATCTGCGTGTGATTTGCCGTAGTTAGAATGCAGGTTGTATTCAATGTGCTATTTCTGCTATTGTGTCATCCCTTACCCATTATCGCCCCCTTATCCACATGATCTATTTCCCTATCTCATGTCGCTTCTCTATTGGCTACCATGTATTCCCAATGTAGCCACGCTCTTATGAGTTGCGGGACTTATGTATATAAGGCCTTATTGCCAGCTGGGTTGGCTCCCCAGCTTTTACAACGACTAGTTTCCCGGGGAGATCCTTACGTGCGAACTGACATGCGGACTCTGACAGATCACCGCTACGCATAGCTGCTATTTGTCCCACCGAGTCCTGCACGCTGGGACCTCACCACTTTTGGAGCTGTCCCTGACACATTGGGCCTGCCATTATGCATGCCTGCATCTCTCCTCATCAGGCCTCCAGCACTGGGCACTGTACCAGGTTGGACCCATCCCTGACACAAGCTGCAAAACAAATGGCACAATAGATTTGGATGTTGGGTCATGTGATCAGCTCTATTTAGGAAACTGCAAGTTGATCATCATTTATTTTCTACCATGTGGATAATCACATGACCATCACATGACCTGCACAGACATTCATCCAAATTGGGGCATGTCGATTTTTTTGCACCTTGCTGTAAACAAAAGCATCAAAGTACCTCAAAGCACCCCAAAGGATCCACCACACAACATCACTCATTCCAAGATGTGAATAGAGTTGGTATTCTAATATCACAAGTCATCATTTTGGGATGAGTTGTAGTCTAACTAAATATCACACCAGAACAATGGAGTCCAGCACTGAAAAGCCAACTGCTATGCCTCCTTCATCACTTTCCTTGCCTTTGGTTCTGGCAAGCCAGCCAGCAGCCTCCTCTATGATGTTCTCCCCTCCCCCATGCTGTCCAAAGAGTGACCACCCAAATATACCTAACTCAGTGACAACATTTGTGCAAACATTTTGAGGCTTGCCAGTCTTCACCATATAATTGAAGATATTGTTTGGAGGACAGATTAACTGCATTGCAATCCAGGCAGGTAGCTCCTTCTGTGGTAACTCCTCCAAAAAATTTGGGATTTGGGCATGATAAATGTTGTTACCCCTCCTTCCCGCTGTGGTTTGAGCACGAGGTTTCGGTGCTGCTCAAAAACTCTTGACACAGCTCCCTCTGCATCAAGACTCCACATTTGGACCCAATTCTCCCGCAATTGTTCCAAAGTGGAATGAGGATGGTTATGCAAAACAGACTCTAGAATTCCTGGGCGTGTTAGATACTCTTGCATCTTCTTTCCACCCGCAAGTTGGAGGGGAATTGAGGGACATTTGATAGACCTTGATGCCTCCAATTTGAATCTCACTTGGAAATGCTCAAAAGATGAATAATCTGCTGGAGAATATCCTGCTCGATAGTAAATTACGGCCACTTCACGGGCTGAACCCAACGCATGGTTGACAGACAGCACGCCGGTCGCAGGATCAACAGTAGCACTTGAAATGAGCTCGTCAAAAGTAAGTCGCAGAACAACTATTCCGTGACTGCGGAGACCAGTAAGTACCACTGCGGAAGCATCAGTGATCAACTCACTTCCCCAGCAACTCATACTGCAGCAACCTTTGATCGAAAATATTTCGTTCTCTATGCTGGACCACCATCAGAATACACGCATCCATGGATCCGTACTGCTTATGGGCAGCTGCTAAACCAGCCGCCAAGCGTGTGAGGGATCCATTCAAGGGCATGTTCTCGGCAACCAATGACGGCGACACTCCAAAAAAGTTGGAAACGTTGAGGAGGTGTCTTGGGAACGCTCAGTTCTCAAATCCTGACAAATGAAAGCCCTCCACATACTTGTGGAGCTTCGACGTTTGGTCAGATAATGCCCCGAATGACGCCGCAATCGTGTTGAATTCCACTTGCTTCAGGGAGAGCTTGAGTTCAGTGCTGCCATCGCTTGCAGTATCGAGCATATAGTCCGATCGGAATAGGCCAAGCTGCATCGTCTTCAGCAGACTAAGTGGGTCTGGATTTCAGATCATGAGCAAACACGAACTTGCTGGGGCCAAGGGGTGACCTGATCCCGAAGCCCTTTCCATCCTTTCCACAAGGTACCAGTAAAATCGTCCGCTGCTCCTGCACCGACCTCAGCACCCATAACTTCATCAATCAATGCAGTGTTCATGGCCACTTTTGAGTAAAGCACATTGTAAAGCGGCTGAAGGCCTTGGGCTTGCTGGAACAGAACGCGGGGAAAGGGAGTAGGCAGGAGTGTGAATGGAGCATGAATCGCGCTGGTCGGGGGATCCTCAAATCCTTCGGGCAAGTAGGACAATCCATGGGATAAAGCGAAAGCGTTTGCTTCCAATGTCAGCACATCAAGCTGTTGCTTTGATAGTGAAGGCGGCCACGCTGGGATTATTGGAGTCATCGATCTGGGACTCAAATGGCAGAATTGCGCTGGCGAATGTGTGTATCCGTGCGAATTCTGGATACCCTCACCGGTTCCCACGGCCTCCCCGAAAGGTGCCAATCAATTCAACTTCTATCATTCAATCCAAATACTTCGCGTGACGCGTTTACGGCAAGTCCCGAGTGCAGATCCAGTGACATGAGCCCGCCCGCCAACATGGTTATCGTAAAGGCAACATACACCATATCTCTGGCTCTACAGTCCAACGAACTCTGGCACGATCTGTTCGCATCCATAACAGGCCAAATGCCTCTGCGTAACCTTCATTGGAAATCAGCCTCGCGGCCGGCTATCCGAACAATCCAAGAGTTAGATGTTGACCTGATACCTCTAGGCCCTACAGAACCATCAACAGACCCACTTAATATCTTTCTTGACGGCCCTTTTCTACACATTTACTTCATGATATGCGATGTACGGCACCTACGCCTTGGCACACCATCTGAATGTTCACTCGAATCGCTTTGTGTTAGGATGTAGATCAATACAGAGCTACCGAACGAAAACAGGTACAGGAATGGAGGCAGTCAATAGCTACCAAAACCCATCAGGACTGGCTCATTGTTCTCCTCGTCAAACCGGACGTGCAGACAGGCAGTAAACGGCTATTCCAGAAGAAGAGCACCGTTTTGGACAAAATAAAGTCAGATTTCATGACTGAAAAACGTGAAAGGTATTTCCCCAAGACCAAACGCTTGTTCGTACCCCCAAACCCCAATCAGATGCGTCCAGCTTCAATGGGCACCGGGCATGACAGATCCCGTTCCTTGGGCAGATTTCCTCAATCGTATTAAAGAGGGTATTATTTCCACCATTGACTCGTATGTGTTGGTTCTTGAGGAAGAAGCAAAGAAGTGCGAAGGTCAACGGCATCACGAGGGCTGGGAATTTTGCGCGTTCTGTGCCATAAAGGTGCTGTAGAATGGTGGTCCCGTTGTTGTTGATTTTCATTGTGTCACCCGATGCAGGACACGCTGGCATCGCTGTTCGAACGAATGGGTTTGTGGGAAGACACCATCGTCCAACTCGACGAGCTAGAAGCCTACCTCTACCAACTGTATAATGGTAGGTTTTCATCTCCAAACAATTTCCCAAATGACCCTCTCCAAGAATGGGGCAGGTCCCCACTCCGGTCGTTCGGGGGGTTGGGTGTAAAAGATGACTCTCTGCCGTTGCTGTCTGCTTCGAAAAAGCCATACAGAGATCTGATCGTCATGAAAACCATTTCCGAGTTTGACTTCAGAATATTCCTAATTTCCCGTCAGTGCCGTGCACTTGCTCGAGTTGGAGATGTTACTGGGTCATTGAGGAAATGTTTGCGGTTCATCCAAACATTCAGTCGAACCATGTTACAGGTTGGACTCGTTCATTGATTCGCCTCAGTTGCGCTGACCATCAAGACAGAACGGCTTGCATCCTTTCTTTGTGGAATCTTGGATATATTCTGGGTCTCTGAATGTGGTGGACATGAGCCAGACATGGACCCCTGCGTCAGATCATAATGACGTGGTCCAGAAGCTGAGCGGTCTTCGAGGCGAGCTGTTAGAATTAGCGAAGTTGCAGGTTGGTGATGAAGTGACGTTCTCCACACGAGGCTGATTATTTAAGCTTGACAAAATTGGGATGCGGAGTGGCCACCTCCCACTCTCTTCGCCTTTTACAATCGCGCTGTCAGGCTCAAGCTCTTACGTGGGTCCAATTGACTCTGTGGGCCGGTTGGTTTCGCAAAAAGACCTTCTCTCTGCGGTGGAACAAAAGGACATATTTGACAAACTCTACACAATCACAACTCACCGGGCCATCGAATGTTTTACGGCTGGGAATAGGAAAAGAGCGGCATTAAAATTGCATGGATATCTTGCTGCGTTTGACTTGTAAGATGGTCAAATTCTCAAGTTTATGACTGCCCTGACTCCCGATTCCAGTCTTCGCAATAAGTCACCAGCAGCGTCCCTTGCTTTCACCTCCTTGCCCCCCCATTACGCAGGCACTAGATGGATGGCTTTGGAGGGAAAAATGCGGAGACATGCGCTCGAGATTCTGAAACATTCAGCGAAACCTCGTGACCAAGATTGGGTCCTTGCCACCCTTTCCTTTCTTCGCTGTGTGGTCGCTCTAGAGAGTGATCTCCATTCAACGCATGTGTTACTCCCAAGCCTGGGGCATGACGGACGGGATGCTCACGAGGGATTCTCCAAGATCGGTGAAGCACTCCATTTCGCTGCTTCCCAGTTAACCAAAGGTCATCACCTTGGCATGTATTGACGTACCCCTGCGTACTTATTGCCTTATTTAGAGGTAACTGTACCCAGTGACCAGCTAGTTAGCCTCAAATCCGGCTGTCATATGGCTCGATTTGATGAACAGAGCCGACTGTACGTCATCCCTCTGGTGATCGTTAATAATCTGCCTTTCGTATGTGATGGCTTCTTCCTACTGCCACTTTGAGACTCATCTTATAGTGCTAGGAAGTCCTTGCCAGCCGGGTCTGTATTGAATTATTGCGCGGAAATGGGACCCGACCCGTCCGATACACATTCTCAAGCGATGATGGGAAGCTTCTTCAGGGGCCGAACACCCTTGAGGTGCGGGGGCTGGTAAAATGCATCTTGGTCGTAGCGGAGCGTGGCTTAGCATATCATCTTAGGTTGGACAAATGGGGCAATTGCTCGTAGAGAGCGTTTCAATTCACATCTCGAAGTTGACCTTACGGCTATCGACGCAGGACTCTAGGGTCATTTCGACAGTCTTTATCCCAAACACAGAGCAGTTGCTTCAAGCAAGGCTGGAGCTCCCGAGACACGGTATGATTGCCAGGCACATCATGCGAAAATTTGCTGATTGATATTCTCGCAGTTGAAATTGGGAAACCATCTTTCGTAATTATTACCCTCGAGTCTGGCCTAGATGACGTTCAAGACGTTACCATTGTCCTGGAGAAATGCCAGAAAGATTCCAATGTAGTTTACTTATTGAACACAGCATCATTCACTGAGCGTGCGTCACACCATCAGTATGTGCATCCTATGACACTGACGAAATTGAGCCAAAGCGAATTTGGGGGTGGGATCAGCCGAATTTTACCCAGACCGTGTTGTCATTCCGCATCTTCCTCCGAACTCCATAATTCATGTGGCAGCCCCATACATTGGGAGCATTGCAACTTCATGCCTCAAGGTAATGCAACTGCACGACATTTAACATCAGGCATCCCCTGGAACCTTGAGCAGGTCGGCTACAGGCTTCCGAAGCACCTTGAACACCCCATATCATATTGGCAAGAAACCCAACTACAGGAAGATTTTCCCGTTATTGTGAATGTCCAAGAGCATATTCGCCACCAACGGTTGAGTTCTTGACGTGTTTTCTAGATACCCGTTGCCAACTCACAGCTTGCAGATGCATATCTCGCTTCACAGTATCGTCGGACGGAACGCACTGGGTCCGGATTAGACAGGTTTCCCTGAATAGCATGTCGGGGTGCTTAGGTATCACATCGAACAACAAGTTTACGGAAGAGGTAAGAAAGCCCTTGATATACGAAAAGGTAATTTATCCACTATACAGATTCTAACTCCCACCCAACCCATCGATTTCCTCTTCCTAATACGCTCTGAAGGCGCGGGAGTCCAAGGTAGACGGACTGTCTGCCACCTTTGGAACGTCCTCTTACACTACTTGTGAATCTAGAGCGCCTCACATTTCATTTGGTTTACCGCACGCTAGACGAAGGTGGGCCGATGATTCAGCGTAGTGACGTTACCTCACATGCGTGATCTCAGAGCTAGATGCAGTCCTAGCACACCTGGAAAATAAACGTCTAGCTCGGAACACATTTGCCCAACGACACAAACTGGTGATCCACCAGAGCATCAAGGAAGCAGTCCAGCAGAGCGAAGATTGGACCCGCTCATACCTGCACACAAAGGTATTCCGCGTGGGGAAGAGTTATCAAGTGGAACATCAAGATGACTGCTCTAAGGACGCCCAATGGAAGAACCTGGTCAAAGCTTATGAACCATCTCTCGGTTGCACCCCCTTCTCAGATACAGTTCCCATCATTTCCAAGTTGCTACCTTCCATCCGTTCTATCGTCGTAGTAGGAATCATTCATGCGTTGCATTCCGAATGGTGCTCAACCTCTATGAATAGGATCTCAGTGACACTGGTAATTATGCAATGGATAATTGGAAAGAAAGAGAGATGATCTTGCCAGTCGATCTTCCTGCTGTGAACGTGTGTCTCGCATCGGCAGTCCTGCATTCAAACCACTGACCACTTTGGAAGGTTCTGAGCCGCGTGGATGTTCTGGTACCAGATTCCATCCGTCATTACGCTGGGCAACCGGTGGATTGCAAAGTCTCAATTCTGACACTGTTCCAACACCGCTGGTCTGGGATGCAACTTGAGGTTTGCCGTCTCAAGTACAATGTACACGGAACCGAGAGCAATGCATGGCTTATTAGTGGGCCAAGTCGAGGCGAATATTTCGGCAAGGTGTGCATCGACGAAGGCTAATGCAGTCACAATTTGACACAGTCTGTTAGGATGGCGTCCAGCACCAATTCGGACTCAGCTTAATCCCGTTGCGTCATGGATCACTTCCCATCCCCAGTGTGGAAGTCAGACCTGTGCTTGATGCCGATAGCGGTAACTACACGCATGAGACTTACCAAAAGCAGGCTGCAACCAGGGTGCAGGTGCTCCCAAGAGGCAATCATGCATCGTTTTTAGTCAGCCTCCCAGTGGCCGAGCGCGAGACGGATATTTACGATGCGTAGCCGTTAATGAACTTCAATGAATTTATTTACAAAGACTTGAAGCTTTGGAGCACAATAATATGAAATCGAGCACAACAGAAGGATTGGCTTCGTTGATATTTCGTTCAGGGGGGCCCCATTTGACAACAGAGACAAAAGTAGCTCAGCATTTTCACTTGGCTTGGATCCAACGACGCTGCTAAGATGATGTATGCTAGAAAGGCCCTAGAAAGGGCATGTCAAGGTTGGCCCAGCAATGCTGATTTCATCCAAATTCTCTGCCCTACACACAACGATTGCATGCCGAACACCTAACATTCTGAGTGCATCAGCAAACTCGGTTTTGCTCTCCCAACTCCCAGAGCACCACCATGCTGCGCCAGTGCTCTCCCACTCCCACATACTCCCCAGATTAATCACGTTCCTCATGTGCTCTCATTCATACTCGCCAGTTTTCGTACTTGCCACAAACTCGCTGTCACGGTTCATCTTCAACTTCCCACTGGTGTCATTTTGTGATGCTCTTTCTTTGACTATTAGCCATCGGAGGCATTTTGCATATCGCTGGTGCAACTTGGTACGTGACAATTTTCAACGCTGTAAACAGGTGGGAAAGTAATTCCCACGGATCTCTGAGTGACTAGTAGAGGGAACATTAATGGTAATCCGACACCAAAGGGTGTTGTTGGCATCAAGGGGTGCCATCCGAGCAGATGCCGGACTCTGTCGTTCCCTTAGTGCCCAAAAGATGCCACTCGCAAGCGAAGACGACAGGGATGCTGAGAGCAAAGCAAGCGTGGACCTACCGAAGGGTTCTCAACTGCAACAACTGCTCTCTAACCCCACCTTGTACGGTGCGTCTGACCAACAGAGTGTCGAAATAGCTCGAAAGCCTGTTACGTGTCTTATCCCGCGGTCATGACAGAACCTGTTCGCAAACCGCACCACAGCTTGGTTCTTGCTCACGGGCTTTATGGCTGGGACGTCATATCATTTGGTCCCGCTACAAATCCGAAATTCCAAATTCACTACTGGTATCTAATTAGCAACACTAATGCGGCGGATACTCATTATAACGTGTGCAGGTCCAATATTCTGGCAGTCCTCAGAAAGATCGGGGCGGAAGTAATTGTTACGGGTGTTCCGAGGTAAGGCTCTATATGGCTGGCCATATGTAATGACTATACCATCAGATCGTAGCAGGGGATCTGTCGCGTCTAGAGCCGAGAAAATGCATGAGTTCTTGGACAACAATCATCGAGGCAAAAGACTGAACCTTATTGCACATTCGATGGTGAACAATTGGACCTACAGATAGTCTCAGTAGTCTTGTAGCATTAACCATTGACATGTATATAGGGGGGTCTTGACTGCCGACACTTAATTTCCCGAGTCAAACCCACCGCGTATCATCCTCTTTCATTGACCACCCTATGTACGCCCCATAGGGGGAGTCCATTCATGGATTGGTGCGCGGTACGTAACACTGAACACACTAAAGTTTTGTGGACAATCTCATTATTTTCAGGCAAACATTGGGATAGGTGCTCTGCGCGAAGCCTTGGACAATCCAAAAGCATTTACCCTTCCTTACACCCTCAAAAGTCCCATTCTTTCGAGCCCTAGTCCAACGAATGGTGCTGCCGCCGGCCAGGACAATGTCCCAAGTTTTATCCGATTACCTTCATCACTGACAACTTTACTGCTTTCCTTGGTAGATTCCCCTGCATATGGGAATTTGACGGCGCGTTTCTGTACCAATGTTTTTAACCCTGCCACTCCGGACATGCGGCACGTCAAATATTTCAGTGTCGCCGCACGGACGCGACGGACCAGCATCTTTCACCCACTTTGGCTCCCCAAGCTGATTCTCGACGAAACCGAAGGCGCCCTACGTAACAGTCATTCTCCTCAAGGCATTCACGGCTCAGAAGGCTATGATCACGGTAACGATGGTCTCGTTCCTGTGGAATCGGCCAAATGGGGAGAATTTCTTGGCATTGTCGAAAATTGTGACCATTGGGATATTCGAGGGGCTCAGGGATTTTCCAATGCATGGGAGAGAGTAGGCCGCAGTGGAAAGGGTGGCTGGTCGGAGTTCTTCGGATGGCAGAACTCTCGCGACAGCGGGAAGTTGGCGATTGATCCTGATTGTGGAGTTCCTAAGCCTGTGAATGACTCCTTGAAGACGCACGCCTCATCTATTCTCGATGAGCCATCTCCAGTAGAACAGGAGAAGCATTTTCAGGAGAGGACCAAGTTAAAAGCCGCCTTTAAGTGGATCGCCAACCGAGTGCCAACCGAAAATACAACGTCAAGGCTGTCTTCGCTTCAGCTCACGACCCCGGCCTCATTTTCTGCGTCTGAACTACGGTCACCTCCCAGAGTCACTCGAACCTCTCCGCTTCATTTCAACCTAGAACGTTTTTACATTGCATTGTGCCGGAAGTTGTATGATGAAGGCTTATAATCCCCGACGTTCATTGTAGACAGCCAGTAGGTCCAAGTGATTAATTGGTGTACCAATTTTTTTTTACAATGCAACAGCTCCACGCCGTGGAATAAGATTACGCCGCCAAACCCCTGCAGAAATGAAAGAAGTTCACAGCGCTAGCATTGATGCCATAAGTGTAGATGAAATGCGATGCGGCCCACGACGAAAAAAGTGCCTTCTGATATGCAGTCGGCAGTCTATTCAAAAGAGTGTCCCAACCGACCTCTGCCAACAACGTCTAGAACCGACAATATGAACGAAAATATCGTCATAAGAGCCATACAGACAAACCTGAGGGATAGCTTGATGGAGGACGGCTTTTCGGGTAGCAATGTCATCGAACAAATCTGAAGCTTCGAGTTCGGTTTGCAGTTCGTTGATTTTTGTGCTCAACTCGTCAGATAGGATGGTTCGCGATTTGGTGCCTCCAAGCCTGACGTGCTCTTTCCATATACACGAAAATTCCAAACTGGCATTCTGGCATATCTTGTCTTGAATGTCTTTCACGTAAGACTGATAAAATGGTGGAGCTACTGGTTGATTAGGGAACGTCATAAGATTGGTGTGTTCGTCATCATTTAACGATAGACCCGCAAGGACGTCGAGGGACGAGCAAGAAACTCCACCCTGAAAGGCAGTTTGCTCCATGAGTAATGGGTGAATGGATGATAGTCGTAGAATAAACCTTGTTTGCACTGCTATCTTTGAACAAGATGCATTTCCGCTTCTCCAAGAATAGGCGTGCTTGTTGTGTGATGAAGAGATTTGCGCCTTCTACGATGTATTTGTATCTGGGCTTGAGTTCCGAGTCTAACAAAAACGGACTGTTAGCACGAGTATTTATACATATACATTGATGTTAGCAGAGGCACCTAGCATTTGCGAAACGTTGGATATGTTCACTGCCTCTGGTCTATTCATCAAATAACGAATGTTCAAAACCAGATCTATACATCTCAGAAACACTGACCTTCCACCACACGGTACAAATAAGTCAGCCTTGTACCTGAAGTGAGCAGTATTCCTGAATTCAGTCCCATCAGCCACAATCTCTCCAGCTACACCAATGCCAGGTAGATCAGAAGGAAGTGCTCGACATCGTACTATAACAACGTACATGGAAGTTTGACATCTTGATCCTCCACCAAGACGACGTAGCCACCCTTCCCAAGACAAGCCCGGTTGAAATGGGATATCATTTTGCGCGCTTTAGCTAGGCGAACCAACTCATTGCGGTCGATACCTGCTGGGTCATGAATGACGCCGGAACCATCGATGACGGTAATGGTTCGATCGGAACTCAAAAGAATCTCGTCTGAAGAAGCCTTAAGCCGACCGTGAGGGACGCATAAATGACCACACTCACTAGACCCAAGGTCGCCGTCTGGAAGGCAAAATTTCAGACAGCTCGCAGAACATGGAAGTCGAGCTTACCAGGCCCCCCTGTTTGCACCTTGGTAACATCCTTTTCCCTAATTCCGAGGTGTTTGTAAATACCAAGGACGTATTGCCGGACCGAAAGGCTCGTCATGCCATAAGTGTCATGGGGAACACCTCCCAGGAGCTAAACAGGTGGGGATTTAAGAAGGTCAGAGAGCAAACGGTAATAGTACACACTGATGCACTCTTTCCAGTTGTGAAAGACTTCCACCATGGCGCACCTACAAGCCGCTGTTCAGTCTTCGAAAACCGCAGGATACACGACAAGTACAACCTCGTGAGCGAGCATGCACTAATGGGAAGATAAAAGTATGACTACAGATTGGCGGCAATAGCACCAACTGTTCACTCACGCGCAGCCCAATCCATCAGATCCGCTGTCCCCTCTGTCAACAGCCATAATCAGTTAGGAGATACATAGTGCGTCGGGTCCGAAAGGTCGCATACCATCAGGTCCAAAGAACAAGAGTTCCGATTTGCCACACAAGTCAACGATGGGCTCCTTGATTCCAGGGCTCACCCCTTCCAGCAATAAATCCATCATTGCGTCGCAATACTTTTCAAAGCAAAGACGTGGATTTGCGCCCAGACTCGGAAGCTTTGTGACTTCTGAGTGTAACAACTGGCACACAGAGAACAGAATGACTAACAATGGTGCCCTTGGCGCCCCCCTCTGGTATGTCTTTATTTTTGAGATCCTACAAAAAGGCATGCATAAATCATGAAGCCAATGCTTGGCACGAAGTTCACCCACCTGTGTCGAGGCTAACGCATAGTTCTCGTCAAAAAGGGAACGCTGATTAATCGAGTAGTTCCTTTATACCGCAATAAGTGACTTCCCCCACAAAAAGGCAAATTTTGGAGGCGTACTCTCGACCTCGGGACCGAACGAGTCGGATACCACCCCGAGCCACATCGCGGAAGCGGACATGGAAACCTCTGAACTCTGAACCTAAAAACATTTCCACCAATCACGCTGATAGTGCCTACACTCCTGAAATGACGAACCAATCACAAAGAACATGCCGAAGGGTCGTTTCGGATACTCCGATTCAGGCAAAAATGCAGGTGATAAACGGAAAGAAACGGCGACCTTTGTTGGCGTATAAAAATTCGTTTTGAGAACATGCCTATTTCGGTATAAAATCGACAAGGCACACGTGTTACCATCGCTTGACCACTTACTTGTTAAAGATCAAGAAGGACTCGAGGACATGCAACTCGTGCTTGCTGCTAACGGTCTTGCGAATTCGGTCGTAAAGGTCTTCATCCGAAAGTGGCGTCTCGTTTTGGAGTCGGATATAACTCAGCGTAGGTCTTCCGTGAATGGTCAGATGGATGATTAGTGCCTGGAGTCATCGGGGAGACAACTCACTCAAGCCCTTGTTTATTAACTGGAGGGTAATGTATCGCAGCAAAATGAACATAAAGCATTCGAATCTGCCCATCGTTAAGCGAGAAAGTGGACCCGATATATTCATGACCTACCAGCTGAGGGTAAGCGACGATTACTTCCATGATACTCTGACGAGTAAAAGTTTCTTGTCTGAAACGTGTCTTAATGGCGTTCAAAACATCGGCTTGTGCAGGGTCAGATTCATCCAGGACGTTCTGGGAATGGGGTAATCAGATACGGCTAGATAAACGTCGATCAAGCATATTATATTACCTTCAGCGCAACATATGAAGGCCCAAGTCTGTTGCAGAAATGTTGCGCGAAAACCCAGCCCGCATCTTACAAATGACGGTCAGGCAACATCGCACCACTGAGCAGCACTCGTAGCACTTACAAGCATACGTAGCCTCCTGAACCGCATGTCCTCCACCTTGCAAAATTTCCGCAGACAGCGAGGGATCCGTGTCCGTAATTTGCTTTGTACCGAAGAACGGATTATCAGGGAGACAGTACAAAAGACTTGCCTCCTTCTTAATCTGTAAAATCGAATGATCGATATGCGGTGATTGAGAATGAGGCATTGGATTAAGGTATAACGCTAAAAAGGCGGAGTCAAAATCAACTCTTTCTACGAGAGAATATTGCGTTTCCTACAAATAATTGTTATTCCATTGCTAAAGTGCTCTGCAGAGGAAGTTAGAGATTGAACAGGTCTGACAGATGGTTCTCACATACCGACATATTTGCGTGACGAGTATAAACCATAAAAATGGTACAACTCAGAGAGGGCACTGGGAAAACCATTTAGTGAGTTGAACCACAGAGGGAGTTTTTTCTTCCTTTCTTGGATACGAACCTGAAGAGATGCCGAGTGCCGCCTATTTTATACCCAATGACAAGGCGCCGCTCAAGGGTCCCCTCCACTTCAAAAATCTCAATAACAGGGCCATAGCGTGATTCAACATCCCAGATAACTCGCTGGTAAATCTCGAGTGTATTTTCCGAGGCTCTTTCGAGAAAAACACGATCTGAAACGGTTCTTATGTCGGTTTTCTGCTCCGGCTGCCCAGTGGAGTTCGTTGGAGGCACAACCCATTGACACTTGGAAAGGAAGTAGCATCGCAACTGTTGTGAAGCTAATGGGAGAGTCAGGGGCATCCTCCTAGGCATGAAGAATAGGAAATTCACCAGTAGCACTTATGGAGCCAGCGGAACCTAATGTGAGCTAATTGTAAGCATGCCCATATTCGCAAAGAATGAGCGCTCCTCGGACTCACGGTAAGTTTCTAATCGAAAAGCCTTTTCTGGGGAAGAATTATCGAGCCACCCGTCGATTCTGGCAATATTTTGGGGTCAGTCCAACATAAAGACGCACGCAGAGACCGACCGCCGTTCACAAGTCGCTCCTGGCCCTTCCTTGGACGTGACACCAGGGGGCGATGTATGGATAAATACGGCCCCATCATCGCGAACCTTCTCTAGATCAACGACGAGTTTTTCGGGATCATGTTTGACCTGCGTGAACAGAAACAAGGTCTCGTCAAATAAGGATTATGTTGAGCCATGAGAGAAAACGTACGTAAGCCAGAAGCTTCGCGCCATAGAGAGCCAAAATGTTGTCAGCGATTGCATCCGCAGTCTCGGATTGGAAATAGGAATCATCAACGCCGAGGTTCGAATAAAACCATTTGACCTAAGGTAAACGTTTGGGGAAGGTTCACTGGGAAGAAATATCATCTGCACAAAGGGGGGTTGCATACTTCAGTGGGTACCAGTTCAGTTGGAATAAAGCCTTTGGACGCCGCGATCGCTTGTACTTTGCTAATGACGGGATCAAAGATATGACATGAACGAAACTGAGAAAGGTTCCTACAGGCGTTGTTCGTCCTTTCCAGAGAAAATGGGAGTCTTGTAGCCTCTGAGGAAGGGTAGGATGGCCAGGTCAAAAACGATAGGAGTGGTTTAAGTTTAAGGAGACAGAGCACCCACGGTAAGTTTTTGACCTTCTGGACGGAAATGTCACTTCCGGGACTCGAAATTGAGTGAGGAGTGAGATCGCCATTGACATGGAACGTGTTTGTCGGACCAGCGAGCTGTAGGACGGGGAGGTTGAGGAAGGTCGAAGCCAGGATATGAAGGACGGTACTGACGATTGCGTTCCTCAAGATGACGGGATCCGGTGGAAGAGACATGACATACGAGAAGAGGGGGAAACGCGGTTTTGGCGAGGTTCTTCGCCTGGGATCAGGTTTTTATACCCTGAGGAGACCCCGATCACGATCCTCTCAATTTGATCTGTATATTTTATTATTTATTTTTTGGGGGGGCAAAGTCTACGAAAAACCATTGGACCGGGTGCTAGTGAGGAGTAGAGAGGGATCTGCTTTGTTCACTGGTTTACGGGGTTATTGACACTCTAAATTCAAAATAGCTCATAGAGATCCGTGCATGTCACGCGCACCAGACCCCGTGATCTCAAAATTTCAATTACATAATCCCCTGTTTCAGCAATGAGTCAATTATCATTACGCGAGCGCTTTCCTCACCGCAACTCACGCAAGCCCCTCTTCACAGGCCCTGAGATGGGAATATCACCAGACTCGTTCGCGTGATGAGATCTCCTCACTAGGATATTTCTTAGGCGGCAATCCTCGCACGTCATATGGACACAATTCCACTCGCACTGGTCAGCTGGGAAGGATTTGTATCACACGTTTGCTCGACACGTTAACCCTATCCCTAACGAGGCATGGCGCGGTGACTTCCAAAGAACGGCAGTTCCGATACCCGGCGGTTCTGGCTGCTGGTGAGACTTTCACAATAATAATTGCGACCAACGCCAAATCGCAACCAACCCATGTCCGCTGCCCCATGATGGACCCCCCTGCACATCATCTCATTACTTAGCGACACCGCGGATGTAATACTATTAGTTGACTTTCGATTGAATCCATTGCGCAGTATACGCCATTGCTTCTTACTTTCTTGCGCTGTCCCCATGCCATCACGCACCGAATGACAAATGGGACTTCAACACACCATATTCCAGCCGGATATGGATCAGGGCTGGGCCTTCCCCACTTCCCGAACCCGATGAAGGTCGTAAAATCGTTCAGCCTGCGGGTCCCCATGCTCAAGACAGGCCAGATCTTTAAAATGGCCATCCTAGAACGAACATGCCTGGATAATATGGAAGCTCTGAGTTCAAAAGGGTCTGAACGTACATTAAGATGATCAAGGGTGACTTCAAATGCAGGGAATATTGCATTTAATAAGGAAAAGGAAAGTGAAAATTGCGAATAAACAATGGGCAATCAGGCCTGTCCCAAAGCCATGGAATGTGCACAACATCCAGAATATTCCCCCCAATACCCGTCAGATACAACTATAATCCCAGCCCTGGTGTCCCCACCCCAGGATAACGCGGGTTCTGCATGCCCTGGAGTTCGCTATGGCGATGACGCGCATCAACCAGCTGTTGTTGATGAAGCTGGTGCTGCGTCGGATGCTGCTGCTGTTGCTGGGGCAGCTGGGGCTGGGTTTGATTAGGCCCCGCTCCAGGTCCGAGGACATTCATCCCTGGTGGTGGTGGTGGTGGCCCTTGTTGCTGTGGACCACCAACAGGGACACCTCCCAACACACCTCCCATCGGAATCTTCTCCTCTAACAGATCATACACAATCACAGAATCTTTCTTCACTCGTTCCCAATTCTCCGGATCAAAGAAGGTGTATATTCCGCGTTCGTAAGTGGCCGTCTTCACCGAAGGGGCTGTCCCACTTTCCTTGGTCAGCCATAACCGATTATCCTTGTGGAAACGCCAGTTACGATTATACCTTCCCGGTCACGTTAAGCGAGTAAGCAACCCAACACGGAAAGCGAGATCCATACTGACAATTCCTGCGCCGCGACCTCCTGCAGCACATCCCTAGGCGACGAGTAAAACATCCAGAAGAGAGTTTCGTCGCTGAAAGAGGCTGCCTTCGTTGGGCCCGGGAGCGTGGGTTGAACATTATAGCAAGCAGGGACATGGAAGTCGGGTTCAACCGCCAAGGCCGCGCTAGCGTCAGACCATGGTGTAATAAGAGCTGAATACAAGTTGCTGTACATAAATTAAACATGAGATAAGTTGTCCGAAGGACAGCAATGTCACAACAAACACTCACTCCAGGTTCCCCATGTCCAATCCGACAGCACCAAGATCTGTCCCCATGCCCAGCAACGCTGTATCTGGGTCCGCACTTCTTATGACCGCCAACAGTCCTAGGAGTCCCCATCGATCTGCAGGACTGATCAGAACTTGCTGTGCTGGCGTCTGTGGTACATTTGAGTTGCCTTGACCTTGGGTTCCCAATGAAGTTTGGACGGAAAGATCGCGCATAGGATGTGATTGTATGTCTGGCACAGTTTGCTGAAAATTCGTACTCTGCACTTGGTTCAGCGCGCTATTTGATTGCGGTTGCGAGGCCGATGACGAGTTGTTGCTTTGTTGCTGAGAAAGTGTGTCAAGATTTGGCCCACTTAAAGCACTGTTGGCAGGCGCGCCCGAATTCACGCTAGACGAAGGCTGAAAATTTGGTGGGTTCGAAGTTGTAGCTGGTGCCTGGTTCCAGTTCACGAATTGGCCATGAGGTGCTGGGCTGGAAGACTTCGAGTCCTTTTGATACGCCTTGAGAAGTTGATACTGAGGATTTGACTGACGCAAGGTTTGAGCGAGTGCCCTGAAAATTCACAGCTGTAACATACCCTCTGAGAGTCCGATGTTGGGGTGAGGCGAGACCCAGATTGTATGCCACCAAGAAGACTTGAACGATTATGTTGGTGAGCATTGACGTCTTGAGTTGGTGCAGGGAATCCGTTCAAGGAGTGTCCATCGACAGGGGTCGACAATGAGTGTCCTCCAACAGATTGGCCAAGAGCAGGAAAGTCGTCTGGGCCGAATCCACTACTTGCGGTAGCGCCGATCCCGTTGGGTGCAACATTCGCACCGGTTTGCGAGACCAGCTGACTTGCGTAGCTTGAAGAGTGACCGTTAGCGACTTGCCCACCGGCCGGGTTGGCCACATTCCCGCTGGATGGCAGCGTCGTGCCGAGAGCAGGAAAGTCATTAAGATCTACAATCAATGACACAAATTACTTGTATTGAGATCCAGAATAATGTCAACAAGTGAGGTCGGTACCGGTACTCGGAGGCTGTTGAGACGATGACGGAGGCTGTGGCGGTAGCATAGACTGTGACTGCTGCTGATGTCCTAAGGCGAACTGTAGTTGTTGCTGCTGCATCGCGTGTTGCTGTTGCAGCGTGGAGGTTTGAAGTCGCTGTCTTTGCTGATCGTCCGCCGTAGGCATGGGAAATGGGTAGCCGTTCCGATTCAGTGTGTTGGAGGTCCGAGGGACACCAAAAGACGCCTGGGATGCCTGAGGGTTTTGACCACCTTGAAGAAGGAACAGTGTCAATGTTCGTCACATTCAGTGCGAAAAAGGAATCAAATGATGGCAAATGAAACAAATGGTGTGCAGGACTTCAGGGACATACCCGATGAGGGGTATGGGACTCTGTAGTTGCTTGTCGAGCCCAACCCAGGCGCCGGAGTGATACTGTCTGCGAAGTCATGGTCGAGTTAAAGTTTTTGACCTATGTACAGGATGATGTGAGAGCCTACTTGAGCGGTTCATCTAAAAGAATATTATGGCGGAGAAATTTAAGTTCAGCAATTTCGCCTCCGGTGTAAGACTTTCGCAGATATTAGAGTGAACTTGGTGTCCGGAGTTCGCAGTCTTTCGTGTGGGGGTTTGGCACAACTTGATGACCTAATTAGGAAATAATTCTTAGATTTAACAACATGTGCCTTGGAATAGGCGCCTATCATTCACACTCTAACATTCTGACTGAGGCGCACACAGGAAACGCGACAACTACTTAAGTATTACATGCGACAGTTTTTCACTACTAATTACCTCCATCAGCGGAGTTCTTAGTCTTCCCATTGGTTCTGCGAAAGGCGATCACGAACGAATTCAGCAAACCTAGGATGCCATTCCGGATGCCACCTCGAAAGTGGTGGTCGGCCCTCAGCGACATCTTGAGCAGCCCAAAGAATTCGCAACCGATCCAACTCAGGCGACCTGTGATAGGAGAAATGATCAAGAAATGATCTGAGTATGGGGATGAAACTCACGTCTCATTATCTGGACAAACTATATAGAAATCTCCAAGTCGCACCCTGTGAGAAGGCGTGCACGTCACGACCATTGAAACTAAAGGAAATTGACATTGACTCGCCTGTCGAACATGTAGTTCACCGTCTCTTCAGCTGTCCATGCTCCATCAGGCTTTTCTGCCACGACCGAGGCACCAGTCATTCCTGTCCAAGTCCACCCAGGGCTTGAAGCGAATGAACAGGTTCGGTTAGGAAAGGACAGGGAAGAGGAGATTAAAAGATGCAAACGAACACAAAGAGGTGGACGGTCGTTCGAGCGCCGCGAGTCCTTAGATCGTGAGCCAAGTGTTCCGACAGGATTTTCACTGCAGCTTTAGAAACCTAGAACGACGTACAGTAAGTCGAAGACTGACTTCCAGAAATAGAAGTATGCTACAACATTATACGCAGGATTGCCCCTGATGATCCCATCGTCGTCCAGATTCATTTCAATATATTCTGGCATAGGGGCATAAAACTCGAACTTACGGAGGATTGGTGATGCCTTGTTTCGACCCAGCTGGCAAGATTGTGAAACCAGATCGAATGATTCGGAAGAAAGACATACTGTTAATAATCCTGCCTCTGGGTTGTCAGAGCCAAGCCTGCACAATTTGAGCTGATACCTTAATGACTCACAAACTGGGATTTTCCTGCGCAATCATGGGGGCGGTGAATGTGTGAATAACATTGATTACCTGGATCGATAAGGATAGATGAGGAATCTCATCCTTGAGATTAGGGATGTGAAGGCTTACACCCCCCAGGTTCACATCCAAAACATCTTTCCAAGTCCCCAGGTTCTCATACGAGGCGCCTATTGTTCCATCTCTGCCTTTGGAAATTGCGGCATTGTTCATGAGCACGTTGGCCTATATGTTCAACCTATCGCATTACGTCCCCATCGGATGCATGAGTAACGCACTTGGCCAAATTTCTTGAAGACTTCGTCGCGCAAGTGCTCGACCTGATCGAGTCTGGAGACATCTGTAGGTACGGCCAGCGTATTCTCTTTGCCGACTTGGGATTCCCACAGGTGAGTTTGCCCAGCCTAAAATAGTCATAGAAGAAGGCCCGCACTGATTTCGGCTACCTCTGCTTCAGCCTGTAGTAATCGGTCTAGGTCAATGTCCGCCAAACAAACTTGTAATCCGTGTCTTGTTAATTTAGGTTGGCGATATCAGACGATGTGCCATGATGATGGACAGACGGGAAAGGAGGGCTCACTGAGCGAACTTCTTTGCAGCTGGGGAAGAAAGGATATCAGTGGGCAGGGAGGGAAGATGATAACCACATATAGGGATGCGGATCGATCGCACCCGCTAAACCGATACCACTGGCTGCTCCCGTAATCACCGCTGTTCTGCCGGCATAAATGGCAGACGAGTCTGTTCCCAGAAGCTCGGCGACATCAGAACCATTCCTTAGTCGCCTGGCAGAGAGTGGCGAAGGCTGTCGAGATTGCGAGGATGGGCGGGACATTGATTAATCACAGGAGTTGAAGTCTTGACTTGAAATTGGGGAGGCAGAGGAAGGGATTGATTATTGATCAGAGAATTTATAGAATGAGGCGCCATCTCACAACCACTTTAGAGAATGACCACTACTGGATACTATAGCTGGCACTGCCGAGTGACAAAATGTTTTTCACCCTAGTTCAGTAGTTATCCGAATCGAATACGGTTAGAAGTCACTAGAGGCCGATACCATTCTATATGTAAAGGTTTGCACACGCATGTATTAAGGAAAGCTAGGCATTTTGCAATCTCAATTTTAATATCGCGATCGCAAGTGTTTGCATGCGGACAGAGGTGTTGCATCCCATCGCAAGAGCTCTAGGCCCACCCATTTATTTCGGGGCCGTCGATGGAAAGAAAAAGCGCTCAAGCAAATGGAGCAATATCGACATTAATATTAAAGTATCCCCATTCGAACACTCCAGTCGTAAGCTGTTTACAGGAGAAAACCATCAATTAACTCCACGAAACGCGTCCTTCACAAACTCTCAGCCAGAGGCGTCGCAATGTTTGGACGAGCGCACGGAATGGACACAGATGAAGAAACGCGACAGTACATTAAACTAGATAGGCGCGCCCCGGCATCAGGCGCAGATTGGAACTAACAGCAAAGGCTAGCGTAGCTGTTCACGACGACGAAGGAGTGGCAGGCGCTTCCTGCATCCCCATCTTGACCTTGACGGCATCGAACGTCTTCAGCAACTTGCGCCTTGCCCCGAGAGCGGCGACACCTTTCGCCTCCAATTCAGACTCGTCCAACATCACCATTTCTTTCCACGTCATGCCTTCAAAATTCGGCGTGTATTTATGCAAACGAAGGGATCGGAGCCAGGCAGGCACGTCGGTGAGCAATTCGGGATTAATTTCGTCATCTTTGCCTTCTTTCCCTGCACCGTCGGTACGTCCGTTGGCAGAGGACCTACCAGGTGACCGTCCACCCTGACGACGACCGCTCTGTTGTTGAAGGCCACCTACGCCGAATGCATTGGGGTGAAACCCACTGGCTGCAAGCTGCGCAGCGAGAATTTGAGCCTGTTGGAGCGGATTAAGCGTCAAACCCTCCATGCCACCCACGAGTCCATTCATGGGGCTAAGGTTGGGCATCCCATTCATGCCATTGAACATGTTAAATGGCAAGCCATTCATACCCATACCCATCCCGTTCGCACTCAACGGTCCTCCAGCTCCCAAGGCGGCAAAACTTAAGTTTGCCATTGCCTCCTGCTCATTGCTGTTGAATCGCCCGGAGACAGCAGATAAAGCGGGACTCCTTTGAGGGTTAGCAGCCCAATTCTGGCCGCCAGGCAATAGACCACCAGCGACGGCAGAATTTGTCAAGGACACGTTCTTGGGTAGGACGCCTCGGCTATTCATGGGGGTTGAATTGATGGGCTCGCCATCGTCACCATATAAAGCATTTTTTGCATCAGGATTTTCGGGCTTAACGGCAGACGGCCGACGGAACTTCCGAGCGTCGTCGAGAACTACCCGTCCGTTTGCGTTATTCGACATATTCCAATTAGCAAGCTTGACGGCTGCAGCGTCGAGATTGTTGCCATTCGGGGCTGTTGATTGGTTATCCCCAAACATCGGGTTGAGAGGGGTGTTAACCATACTCGCCCAGTTGCCCCCAACCATGGGGGAGAGTTGGTCCTCATAATTCGATTCAGCTTGAACAGCGTTCATGCGCTGTGGGCGGAACGAGTTGGCAACACCAGTGAAATCAGTGCTCTTTGGCCTCGCCGAAGATGGGACGGGAGGGGAAAGGGAAAGTGTTGCTTCATTGTTGGGGGAGGGAGATCTCTCTGCCACCTGTCCCAGCTGGCTGGAAGTCCACACAGTCCCACCGCGTTCGCTAATGAGTGTACCAGGGGCGGATATACGATGAGCAGCATTAGCCTTCAGTTTCGCCCGTTGATGTGCCAAAGTCGCAGCGGCTTCTCCAGATCCACCGGGTCCCGGATTGACGTTGGCAGAATCAGGCGAGAGGAAATTCGAAGAATCTCCAGCAATAGATTGGCGGTTAAGGGAGGAGCCAAACGTCCTAGTGGAAGGGGAAGCAGGCAGTCCAGGAGACTTAAGTCCCATGCTTGCTAATTTTGCCTCCATTTGAGACTGCATCGACGCTATAGGAGACCATTGTCAGTTAGAGGGTTCGTCCTAATGTGTCACACAACACACCCCCGATTGCAGGACTCAACAACGCTGTCATAGGATCCGAGCGAGCCATCTGCTGTAGCACCGTGACAAAAAATCGAATTTGCATTTGCGTGGAGTGCTGCAGAAGACTGTACAGAGCAGCGGTCCTCTCCGCTTCAGAGAGAACCCGAAACCCTATCAAATAGAGTTGAGTATAATGCAATTGGCAGGGCTGAGTAAGGCTGATGTACATTGTTCAATTGCACTGAGTTCCTCCTTAAAGTTTGCATCCAAAGAGGCGGCCGCCATTTCTTCCTATCCAGCAGCGCAGACTGCTGAGCGTTTCATCCAGGGAGGGTTGCGTTTACTCACTAAGGTAGTCTCGTAATTTTGCAAATTTTCAAACCATTGATCGATGGCTTCCGCTAAGCACGATTTCCAGTCAGGGTGAATAGTACAGAAGAACTTCATCGACTCACATTCGGGGTTTGAAACGCGTTGTTAGATGACAGAAGTTCACTAGTTGGTCGTCCATGCCCAGTGTTAATTCCTGGCGGTCTAGGCGAGATTGGGTTCTGCTGTTGTCCAGACACACCACGGGAAATGCCTGATGGCTGCAAAGATGCTCTAGTGTTAATTGGCTTTAGGTTCGTAGGGGTTCCTGAAGGCGCTGGCGAAGGACTTGGACTCGGGCGGAGCGACATGTCCTTGGATGTGACCAAAGTACGAGTGCGAGAGTGCTTGCTCTGCGGTAGAAGGGAGAATTACGATGGGTGAGGTATGGAAGAGATGGCGCTTGGCCTTGAAACGACTTCGAGTCGAATGATTAGTCGTCGACGACGAGGTTGTTAGCTTTCTCGGCTTCCCACTCCAGAAGCGGAAAGGAATTGGATGCAATAAGTAATCCAAAAGACCAGCGGACCTGCCGGTCTAGCAAGAGACGAAAGACGTGTGGAGGTTGAGGGGAACAAACGCGCTGAACTGAAGCGTCACGTGTCGGGGCCTGTGCTGATCAAGGAGGGATCAAAGCGGCTCTGTCACGGACTTTGGGCTCTCAAATACCTTACGTCTAGGACTGGGACTTCTGAGGGATATAATTGTCCTCGCCGCTTCAACGTATGCATTTCACCACGCTTTCCACCTCAATTCTCATGTACCATGCAATTGAAGGGATGTTATCTATCCACACGTTGTATAGGCGTGGTCGCTACTGACCACGCTCGTTGATTGCCGGAAACGACTTAGCGATGGGGGAGATCATGAGGGTGCAATTGAGCGGTTTGGACGCTCCGTACCCCATTCCATGCGATCTCAGGGTCATGATAATCGGTCGGGCTGCATTCTATCACAAACATGAGGCCACCCCTCCGATTCTGTTAATACATAAGCGGAAACATTCCACTATTCATCATCCTTTGTATGAACTTCAGGTCTGTCCCTGAAAATGCGGAGTCGGTGTGCTCCCGCCGCCTCCTACCAGGTATGTCAACAGAAGCACCTCATATCCACGAATGTCTCCGCAACCGTAGCCAAATGGCGGCGACTGTACCTCATTATCGTCTTAGTTATTGAGTATCCGATAGTGGCTTGTCATGGTCGTGCCTTCCAACTTGAACGTCACTCCGCACGCCAGGGACGGAGAGCCACATATCGCGGGCTCGTGATAGCAATAGGTCGAAATTGGCTATGGTGTGCTACAAACATAAACCGTAAAAACACGAACACTACTAGCAGGACCTTGACCGAACTACGTAATTTGGCGCGTCGGAAGCTGATGCAACGTAAGATTGATTGGTTGGAACAGCATCTTTGGCTCGGACATACAACCAACGGACTCGAGAGCGAAGGTAAAACATCTACTCCACATGCAACTTTTAGTATCAATGGGATTTATGCAGCAAGATGCGTAAATCCGCTCAGGAAGTGAAGGAGGTTGGTACAACAGCTGCACAAGGTCGTTTTAAGCCCCGAACGCGGTGTCGGGGGTTCGGCACGACCGGCATGATATGCTAGTGCAGATAAGACAATAACAAACCTATTTCGCTCCTTATTAAAGCGCGAGACGCTGGTTATGTCTGACAGCCTCCTGCTCATTGTTACAGTAGTTCGAACGGCAGGTATTCAAGACTTCAATCAGAATCATCTATATCCGCCAAATCATCAACACCGTCCCCATAGGGCCCTTGATCTATGAAGTTTAAATCATCCCAATCATTTACTTTCGAGACGTGTTCAGTATCTTCGATGGCGAGGATTTGGTTACTATCAAGGGGCCGCTCGGATCTTTCGGGCAGGGCAGAGGAAGAACAGTCAAGGCATTGTCGCACTATGTCCAGTATGCTATCCATATCTTGTGATGTGAACCGTTCCTCGAACTCTTCAATAATCTGGGGACAATCTAGATCTAGAGAGGCATGACGGTCACGAACTCGTGCAGCACGCACCACATAAAGCTCTACAGGTCGTAATGGAGCAATGTTTATTATCTGCAGCTTTTCGATTTTAGTCAAAGCATAAGGTTGCAGCGCCTGCAGCAATCGTGCGACTTGCGTTTCATCTTGTCTAGCGGTTAACAGCGGGGATGTAGACAGATATTGGATAGCCTGTATCCGGGGCTCAATGCCACTGTGATCTCTTTAACGCAGGAATACAGACCTCAAATTGGACGGTTCGCATGTTCTCACTAACGATGGCCCCAAAGCTTCGATGGTGTTTGTCTGGTGCTCCGACTCATCGCCTTCCTTCTTTACCAAAGCTGCACGAGCGTGGACCTGCTGTTCGGTTTCCAACTCTTTCAATAAGTTTAGAACCTCGAAATTTGACAATAGAGCACTGCGAGATTTAACGACCTAAATAAATGAAGTGAGCTGCACAGGGAACAAGACCGGCACACGAACCTCCATTGCACAGGAATTAGCAGCGGTTCATTGTACATTGGTTATCTACGCTTCACGCATGTGATCGTCACAGTCACAGGTGCAGAGCCACTTGCCCACACAACTAGTTGTAGGAACGAAACATTGTCTTGCTGAGACTCGTTCAAGCTAAACAGCTGCCTAGCATTAAAACAAAGCATTCGGCAGTGAGTGGGAAGAGCGTCGTTTGAGGCGCCCGTCGAACCAATCCGCATCGGTGGCAGTTCTTTTCGAACCCTTCCGATGGGCGAGGAGACTGATGTGTCTGGCCGGATACCTGGAAACTGTACGGTAGCTGCTTTTATTAGTGATGCGAAGCCCCCAATTAACGTAAACTTGGGCAGCTCAAGGAGGCAACCCCCAAGATCCAGAATCATTATTGCCGTCTCCAAACATCGGTGACAGCCTCCTGGACGACTGGACCTTGCATCTCAACCAAGTTCAACCGCCTTCTCTATCCCTGACACCCGCCAACACGGCCACCAATCAACAGCCATACCACAACAACTTCTCAAATCCAGATTCCCTTCAAACTAGTAGGGTATTCCGTCCCACCCAGCTTTCCACTTCGGACACGATCCGGCAACCATCTTTAAAATTTCCTCTTTCCGGGGGCCTTCGAAATGACCTATCGGGTGATATTGGTGCGCTGGTTGAATCTCTTGGCACTGTACTCACTCATTTTCAGATTCCAAAGCAACCAAGGATCCTATGGCTAATGATACGCCCCTCGGACCACGGTTGCTGGCCCAGTCTGTTCCAAGGCCATTTTCACGATCGGACTCTAACGGCGTGATGGAAAGGAGCAGTCCCCGCACTCGGAGAACGTCTAACCCTAACCCCTCAAAAACTAAAGGACACCATTCGAGACGTCATTCCAGAACACATTCGGAGGTGCTTCGGGACGACACAAACGGTGCTCGCCAAGCAGCCTATCCGACATCTCATCGAATCAGTCTCCCTCTTACGCCTAAAGGAGTTACTGGTTTCAATCAAGTCGCAAGCCCGCCGACCTCGAGATCGACATCACTCCCTCGACTTAAACCGACAGCCAGCGATCGTCGAGCTGCTGCGGGTGCTCTTCCTGAACCATCCTCTATTCGCCCTGTTCCGCTCCCATCTTCCCTAAAGCATCCTCAACGTGCTTCCCCGCATATATCAGAAGATCAAATCTGGCATGCCATTGGCAAGAGGAAAGATAGAGTAGATCATGACAACACCGGCGGCCCGGCTGAGGTAGTTGATGCTGCACTTCCAAGAAGCATTCTCAAATCAACAACATCTACGCTGGGTTCCGCGAATGGTTAGATATTTCTTCCGTGATGGAATATTCCTAATACCTTGCGATTCAGAGGCAACATCATCTCGAAAATCAAAGCGGATAAGGCTATCTCTGACATCTCGGCCCACCACTAGCACGGAAGGCCGATCATCTTCTCCTCGCCCCTCCACGTCGCTTGCGAGCCATCTTCGCATATTGCATGAAGGTGAAAGCGCAAACAACCCACCCTCAGGCTCAACGGACAATGCTGGACAGCCCATTTCTTCCCCGAGCCAAACATCAGTCCCTCTCAGTGGGCGGGTGCCTGTCCCCCCACCGTCCGCATATGCACCATCGATGAGCTCCCGTCGAGGCGGACGTCGTGGGTCCATCTCGTCTCAAATATCAGCAAGAAGTTCTATTCCGATCCGGGCTTTCACGTCCCCTCACCCGCCATCCATAGCGGGCAGCCATAAAACGGAGTACCGTCTACGTGATCCGTATCTGGTCGTACATGGTGGGCGTAACTCACGTGGGAGAGACCTTGACACAATGAGTCGCTATTCGAGAGCTAATCGCAAGTGGTGGCGGACGCTTCCTCCACATGGGTGGTGTTTCTTTATTGGGTTCATCTTCCCGCCTGTTTGGTGGGTTGCTTCCTTTACGGACCCTCGGCACATCGTCGTTAGTAGAATGAAAGACAATGGTCTTATAGAGGAATGGAATGAGAGTGATAAAGGTGAGTGTTTCTTCATGTCGGAATGCCTCTCTAAAATCTGTCGCAGAGGCATTAACTTGGCGCTTCCGGTGCCGTTTGTCGAGCATTTTGACGTTGATTCTGTATATTCCCGTTGTCGTCTTAGCTATCGTATTTGGGCGTTAAAGACTCGTTATGATTTATTCACTATACGCTATCCTTTCCAATCTTTCCATATTCATTCCTTTCCCTGATTAATCGAGCACTTATACCTGCCTTGTCCTTCCTTCATCCCTCCATAATCCTCTTCGTGATACCATATACGAAAACTTATAATGGCATTGCACTTGCACTGAGCTCGAATGTCCAGGAATATGTCATCACTTGTCATTTGCAATGTCCAACACTGCAGAGTGTTGGGGTGAGTAAGATATATCATGCAGTCGGGGGAGAGTATGTGGTTGGAACAGCCGAGAAAAAGCGCAAGTACCGAGGACAAGTGCCACACGCAAAATCAAAAACAAACAAACAGACAGACAGACAGACAGACAGACAGACAAAGATACCTTGTACATACCACCCCTACATTTGCGCCACTGAATTGATCATCCCTGCGGAAAAGGTCGTTCCAGCAGCAGTAGTTCCACCACCCGAGCTTGATCCTTCTCCCTCGCCTGCTGCTAATCGAGCCACATCGGACTGCAATGCCATAGGGACAAATATGACCTTAGAATTGGAAGTCTTTGCCATTGACTGGAATGCTTCAAGCTGGCGGATTTGCATAGCGGCCGGCGAGGCGAGGATATCGGCAGCTTGGCGCATGAGACGCGCAGCGTCAACCTCCGCGCGTGCCGCAATGACCTTGGCTTCTCCCATGCGCTTTTGTTGTGCAGCGGATGAGAGAGAGGCGGATACTTCGGGGGAGAAGATGATATCCCTATTCGACACCAAGGGGGGAAAGATTATGTCATTGGGTCAAAAACAGGAGCTCTGAGATAAATCTGCTTACTTGATGAGTATTCCTTCAATAGTAACGCCCCACCTGTCGCCTATCTCTGACAATATGGAGTCAATTTCAAGAGCGATGGCCTCTCGCTCTACCACCACACTTTGAACGGTGCGTGCGCCGACAACGTGACGGAGAGTTGTTTGTGCACGTTCCACTAGGGCTTGACGGAGATCAGTAATCCCAAAGGCTGCTCGATATGGATCTGAACAAATGCATCAGCAAAAGGGGCTCGATCGAAAGGTTCCCTAGCAAAGTCTCACTTGTAATTTGGAAGTAAATGACAGAATCAATGTCAACGTTAACGTTGTCTCGCGTTATGACCGTCTGGCGCCCTGATCAAAAGGGTAAGTCTATGACAAGACGAGATACCCGAGAACTGGATAAACTTACCGATGCTTATGATTTGAATTTTGACGTCCACAACGCTTAATGATTCCGCACATGCATTCACATAAACGAGACCAGGATCCACGGCTAAGAGGAAAGTAGAATGAGATTCTGCCAAGGGGTAGGTGGTTTACTGAAACTCACCTTTGTAAAAATTACCAAAACGTGACACAAGTCCGACGGTGCCTATCCTGATGTGTTTAGGATTAGTCACTTGAGGGACAGATGAAAATATCATACCCTGTCGCACTTCGCGATATGGATTGGGCAAGGGGCAGCATGGCTGTACAGGAGTTCATTCAGTAGAGGCAGAAGATGATGAGCAAGTTGTCGTACAAAGGCGCCACAGAACCCGATGCACTCCCCAAGGGCACTTATGAGCGTCCCGTACACACCATGTTGAACGTTCTCAGCACCCAGATCTTGGGCGTGTGGTACCTATTCATATGAGGAAGTATAGCAACTTGAGTGGGTGGATCCAACAGAACACACTAACCTGCATGTCTTCTCTCCTGAGAGGCTGAATTGTGATCACTCTACTCGGATAGTGAGCCCTGCGTCTCAGTTGTGAAGCGTCGTCCGTTACCTCTGGGTTGGGTTAGGCTTGCGTGAACTACTTGACTGATCCATTTGGCGGCCTACTATAAAGTGGTAGTGCCTTGTGCTTCCTTGTTTGTGGTGACTGAGACTTACGACGGTCACCTGAGTCGTCGCTTGCGATGTTTGAACGTAGAGACTCTGGATGAGAAGAGGAGCGTTTGAGCTGAGTTGGAGAGCTGTTGGACATTCGAGCTGAGACTGGGTGTTCCTGGAGATAACAGTTGGGATTTATAGATTGATAACGGTTAAGAAGCGTTCACTGGAGACGCCCAAGGCCCGCAGCTCCAACAGCGGAAGGCGGTGCTTAGAATGGTTCTATTCAGTAAACTTTGAATTGCATTGTCACACGCTCAACACTGCCTTAATGCGCATGACGACGCAGTCTAGTGGGCTAGGCGATGACTCATCTAGGCGCGGACCTCTTTCACGTAAGCAATCGCACTGGAGGTGCTGCAAGATTGTGCGGAGAATCCCAGTGTAAAGCTTCTCTGAAGTGTTCGACAGCCCAACGACAGCCAATCGGATTCGTTCAAGTTTTCCGCAAGTCACATTGGCATCGGCGAGAACGCCGAAATGACGCATTGAATGCGACTTCTGCCGCCGGAGAATTTTCCATTTCCGGCAGACTACTCATTCCGTTCCGACGCAGAGCGGACACGAGTTGATCCGCAAACATACGGGATCCGGACATACGGGCGATGATGTCATATCGTGGACAGGTGTGTTGGATGTACAAAAACGCTGGAGGTGCCATCTACGAGGGGGTTCTTGGTTCAAGCTGCTTCCGACCTCTTCAAGGATCGAGCCTCAGTCCTTAGTCCATGGTACTACATCAACCTCGCGACTCCACTATTTCCCCTCGCGGCATATCCCATGCATACATTTATTAAATTTTGGAGCCAACCGTCTCCTTGCTCAGCTAGGGTATTTTATGTTGCTAAGCCTGCCCAACGGGGGGTTTTCCACAGGGGGTGTCACGGCCGTGCATTCCGGCCCGTTAGCCGCCCGTCCCGATGCCGCCTGAGCCCATTCCCGCTATGCGAGCGCAAGCGCGAGCCCTGGCCTCAGCCCTATCCTCCCTGAGGACTCCCTGCTCACTCCCCCGCTTGCCCCTAGGCTCCCCTGCACCTGGCCGACTCCCCCACAGCCACACCGACCTTCCCACCCTGAGTCCGCCTCCGGCACCATGACCAGTGCGACTCCTCTACCCCGCCACTTGGCTCCTACAGGGCCGCTACCATTCCCGCGCCCGACTCCGGCCCAACTCCGAGTCCAGCGCCACTATGATACCATCACCGCTATCGCGGCCCTATGCTCTTTCCTTTATTTATCTGTTATTGTTTGTTTTGACCCTCGGTCATTGCCAGCCGCTATGCGGCCAACCCCGCTCCTTATCCTTGTTTGCTTCCGGACCCTTCGGCCTTCGGCCCGGGTCCGCTTCCATTCATTTCTTCCTCCTATATATATCCTGTATACTACATTATAGTACTTTAGCTCTAATATCGATGTGACCACGACCCCTAAGTCCTGACCCCAACAAGGCAACCCCAGTGAGTCTGAAATGAGGGCCAAGAGACAGCTAGGGGCACAGCACTCCCTTTAGAGTTGCTGAGGCCAAATGCCCTACCCCCGGGCCTTGTCTGAGGCATCGCGGCCATTGCGGCCAATAGCGGCCCGCATCGGCGACCTTCGGTGCCGACCCCGGACCAGTGTCTAACAGGGGGGCCCAGTCTTGAACACATCACCACTTGGCTGCATATATGCAGTATATAAGGCTCTGGACACATGAAGTGGAGTGCATATATGCAGACTTGAACCCAGCCATCTCTGCTCTGTGGACGCGCAAAATGTTTGTTATTTAATGGAGGTATGAGATTAAAACTTGTGTGCGGTCGGTCTGAAAACGTGCTCTCTGTTTTTCTTTTGCACTTGGCACATTCCCTGGTGATGCTTCATCTTATGTGCTGTACCCACTGTCGGCCTTACACATACTGTGCTTTTGTCACGACCATGCATCCCGTCCCGTTAGCTGCCCGTCCCGATGCTGCCCGAGCCTATTCCCGCTGTGCGAGCGCGAGCGCGAGCCCGACCTCAGCCCTATCCTCCCTGAGGGCCCCCTGCTCACTCCCCCACTTGCCCCTAGGCTCCCCTACACTTGGCCGACTCCCCCACAGCCACACCGACCTCCCTGCCCCGAGTCCGCCTCTGGTACCGACCTAGCGTGACTCCGTGACATCGCCTACTCCGCCATGATACCATCGCCGCTATCGCGGCCCTACACCCCTTCGTTTATTTATCTGTTATTGTTTGTTTTGACCCTCGGTCATTGCCGGCCGCGGTGCGGCCAACCCCGCTCTTTGTTCCTATTTGCTTCCGGACCCTTCGGCCTTCGGCCGGTCCGCTTCTATTCATTTCACCTTCATATATATATCCTGTATACTACATTATAGTACCTTAGCTCTAATATCGACTTGACCACGACCCCAAGCCCTGACCCCAACAAGGCAGCCCCAGTAAGTTCGAAATGAGGGCCAAGAGACAACTAGGGGGCACAGCACTCCCTTTAGAGTTGCTGAGGCCAAATGCCCTACCCTCGGGCCTTGTCTGAGGCATCGCGGCCATCGCGGCCCTTAGCAGTCCGCATCGGCGACCTTCGGTGCCCGACCCTGGATCAGTATCTAACAGCTTTCTGAGGTTGCAGTCATGCTGATTCAGGTTTATTGCCGCTGCATTCCTGGATCGATTTCTTTGGATGAATTCTGTGCATGTTTTTCGTCTGCCTATGCTACAGGGCTCTGGCCCACTTTTACCTTGTCCTCTGCTGAAGACGTTTTTCCTTTGTTCTTCCTTAGTCTCATTCCTTTGGCCTGCAAGCTGTTTTTTTGTCGAAGTTTTTGCTGGTCTTCCTTGCTTCCAGTAAGCTTTTCAGTCTCACTGAGGGGGAGGTGTTGTGACCTTCAGTTACTCTCAGTGGGTGGGATCCCGATTGCTTATTCAGGTTTTTTCTAGGTTTCGTTATCTTTGGTTGTTTCCTTGTTCTTTGTAACCTCTGCTCTTCTCCCTCTTGTTCCTTGTTGTCCTTGTTTTTCATGTAAAACTCTTTCGAAACCAAGGTTTCTCACATCTAAAATCATCTGGGGAAAGATTCATGTCCGGGGAGATTTCTGTTATGGAGATACTCGGATTTTCAGGTGTAATGGATGTGTCTACAGCGAAAAGCGACTCAGTGGCAGGACCGAGTGCAGAGAAACAGAAGGATCAAGAGGGGACTATGTCGATCTTCAACAAAGATCCCAAAGATGGACTTGAGAAAATTCTGAAAGAGGCATCTTCAACCAAAGAAGTGCAAACTTGAAATACCCCCAGTTCAGGATGATGGAAAGAGACAGAAGTGACGGTCCTTCTTCCAGGATGCCAGTCTCAACCTCTCTGACGGTGACAAACCAGGAGGGAGCTCATCTGGGAGTTCATCCAAATCCTCTGACGATGCAAATGTTACCTTCGCTGGCACCAAAAGGTCGGATCATCACAGGAATTACTGAAACCTCCCCCTGGCAATGGGAACCAATAAGATTTGGGAACATTTCCTGGAACATAAGAAAAAGGCCTTACGAAGGCTCAAAGGACAGCTTAACAAGCCCCGATTCCTGGAGTCCCTCTGGGAATCAGTTTTGCTCAACAAATATGTCAACTTCAATAAGGTCCATGCAATCTGAGTCGATAGAGCCCCCGAAGAAGAAGTTGTTCACAAATCCAGACCCTTCAAGTTTATCTACGACCAGGCCGGATCTAAGAAGGCCATCCACAGGCAAGGGGCTTGGATCACAGCATTTGATGCCTATGCTGACGCCATCATTTACATCTACTCACACTGGAAAGGGGAATTATGAACCTACAAGGAATATATCCGTGACTCTTTCAAGAGTGGCAGACCCTTCAAAGAACAATCAGTCATCGATTTTGATGTCATGTTTTGAAAAAGACTGGCTGAGGATGCAAGACCTACCCTTGATGACATCGAGTTGTGCCACCCTTTCTTCTATGGAGGTGGAAGTGGAGCAAAGGGAGCAAAGGGAGCTTTTTGGAAGCAAGGTAAAGTCGACAGGGAAATTTGTAGACGTTTCAATGCAGGAATTCCCCACTTCAATTGCTGATACCGACATGTATGTGACAAGTGTGAGGGAGATCACCGAAGGTTGGCTTGCCCTACAAAAGATGTCAAAAGACAGAAAAGAATTGAAGAGTGGAAGGCCATGATAAGAAACCCACAATATCTCAGGGGATTTATTTGGGGAAAGGATGATCCAATCACTCCTTCCATAATGTCCACACTTTTTTGAGAACCTCTTCCATCAGTTCCTGTTGATGACTTTGTTCACATTTTGGTGTCTGAAATGATTGAGAAAAATCCAGAACTTTTCAAGATTGTAACGCCTGTGAAACCGGATAGGCTTGATGAATTGTTGCAGCATCACCCGAACCACAAGCTAGTAGAGTCAGTGGTGTTGGGCTTTTGATCGGGTTTTTGGCCATGTGTGCAGCCAGGATTACTGATTTCATCGAAGAAGGGGCATGACTGTTATGGAAATGGGAATTTCCCATTTTAGACTCTTATGGGTTCTGTATCATGTGATATGTAGAGTAATTAAGTTTAACCAATCAACAATTAACGAAAACCCGCTGCCACACTACCTGTTAAACAACATGTTAAACCATCTGTGAAACCACCTGTAAACCCCTATGTCCAACCCCCTTCCCTATTCCTGTGCCAGAATGGACGAAAATGGGCGCCTCTGGCCCCATTTTTGTAACAATGACAACCTGCGTCTAGTGGAGGAAAAGGACGAGGAGAAAAAGACATTTATGAGGTTGCAATGTGATGTCGAGATGTCGTTAGGTCATTATTCTCCATCATTCGGCTCATCTTTGCTACCAGGGATGGTTGTGCAGCCTTGTTTCATAGTGCCCAAGCCAGGATCGGCCAAATTTTGACTCGTCAACGATCACACCGCTGGAAGTTTTTCTTTGAATGCAGCGATTGCCCTGGAAGATGGGTCTTTTAGGCCTGACAACCTCCAAGATTTGGGAAAACAATTGCTTGCCTTTCACATGAGTTTTGGTCATTTGCTGGCATGGTTGTTTAAGTCAGATGCAAGCTTGGCTTATAGACTATTGCCATGCCATCCC